ATATACAGTAGTTTGCCCTGCCCCTATTGGTCAGGGTGTGGTTTTCTCCTTGGTAGTTCCTTGATTAGGGCAACCTAATGTATATAAACAGGGGGCAAACCCCACACTCACTAGCACTGATGATGTTACCTAGTTGGATAATGAAACGTCTGCAAGCAAACAACCAAGCTCAGAGAGCACCAAGGACTCAACAACTTCCTTGATTAGGGCAACCTAATGTATATAAACAGGGGGCAAACCCCACACTCACTAGCACTGATGATGTTACCTAGTTGGATAATGAAACGTCTGCAAGCAAACAACCAAGCTCAGAGAGCACCAAGGACTCAACAACCAATTTAATATTTGCTGCTAATCATCATATCACCTAAACAGGTTATTTCCAGGATGTGTGTGTACGTCTGTGTGTGTGTGTGTAAATCTTTTATAATCTTAGAGTTTCTTTTCTTCTTCTGCAAACTCTGGGGGGTTTCCAATCCTTGTTAAGTATTCTTCCTCTTGGATCAAGTCTATGTTAGTGAAGATGTGGCTGGGATTTTCTGTATTTCTCTGGAAGTTTGGTGGTGGTAGGAACAGCTCAAAAAGCTGCCAGTTTACAGCAGCTGTGGTCAGAGGGATTCTGTAGACCATAAAAATGATCTTTAAGAGTTGCATGCAGCCATCGTGGATAGTGTTGAGTCAGGAAGCTTTCCCAAAAGGATTTCTGCTAAGTCCAGACTTATCAGCCATGCATTGTCCTTTTACTTACTTCATTTCCTCTCTCTCGTATCCTGCCTCTCCTCACTTGTCGTTCTCAAGGTAGCTAACAAAGCTGAGTAAAATGATATGCAGATAAATAATTCAGCAACACAGCAGAATAAATGCAGCATCTAAAGCAGTATTAAAAATAACAGCGCTACCCTGGAGGCGTTAAAGGGATTAAAAAGGGCTGGGAAAGTAAAAACAAGAAAGAAATGAAAACTCTTCCCTTACTGTCTAATAATGTTTGACGCAAACAACAAGCGTTCATCTCTAAGCTTAGTAAGATGCTGATGCTGGTGATTTTAAAAGCCTCAATAACATCATCATCATCATTATCGTTGTCATCCTTGTAGGTGTTGATCCGAATGGCAGTCTAAATCAAATGAGTTGGCACATTTGTCACCGTTGGGAAACAAGGTGTTTCTAATCAGTCTCCTTCTCAGGATTAGTATAATTGTTTACAGTCTAGCAAGATTAATTGCTTAAAAGGCTTTTGTTTGGGACTGCTGCAGGGGAGGCTTGATCAGTGATTAACAGTTTGATCCATTATAAAATATCCTATTTAGAGACCCAGCATGAAACTGAGTCACATTTCCATAAAGGTAGCCTTTTGAATTGTGCAACGTTTTTCCCCATCATCAAGCTTCACAGATTGCTGTTAGCATGCATCCAGAAAATATTTGACTTGTACAAGCTTTGTAAGCTACTGATAAGGAGATTTGAAACAGCAGTAGGAAGATCCTTGTTTCTGATTCTGTTTTTTAAAAGGAAGAGTAAATCAGATGCTTACAGGAGTTCAGATGTTTGCTAGTCTTTGCATTTAATGGCTGGGACTTGGGTTCAAAAATTGTTTAGTTTAATGATCAGAATACTGTGTAGGGCTGCCAGGAGAGAGATAAGAAGTGGAGGGAAAGGGAAATCAATGTGCTTTTGCTCTGTGAAGAGATACAAACACAGGTTCAGGTGAGTTCTGTAACCTCTAACATAACCAGTTGTATTTGAACTGGGAATTACGGACTTGTTTCATCTCTTAAGTCAGCAAGATCATCAGTCTTAAAAACCGTCGAAGGTTAAGGAGTTCAGCTTAAAAGGAGGCACAGTTCATTGGACTGCAGATCTTCAAAAATAATTTTTTTTAATGAAAAAGTGAAATCTATAGGTAGCCAGACCTATCTAAGCCAAAACATTTCCTCTTAATCACATAGGAAAGCCGTGACTATTTTACAGCCGTGGCTGTTGTGTCTAGGTGAACATGAGCAGGTTTCATCTTTTATTTTTAAAGACACCCTCCTCTTTTAAAACGATTAATTTTCAATATATGTAGATGCATGTGGATTTTGAAGCAACTCAGGATTCATGATCTAAGAGTTCTTTAACTGGGGACAACTTTAATTTGCAATCCCCTCCACAAAAGACAAACAGGTAGCATGCAAAATCATGCTTTGTTTTGACTCCTTCCTGCAGAACTGGAGTTCATCTGTTTTTTTGGAATCCACATATCTTGTTGAGTGTAAATTTGCCTTTTTCACATTTCCACATTTCCTTTTCAGAGGGAAAAGTTAAGGGACTTTTCTTAGTGGAGCAGAGCAAGCCACTCTCAGATTCATGCATTACACTGATTATAGAACCAGAGGTACAAAACCTAGAGATCAGAAAGAGCCAGCCTTATTAAAGAGGAGATACACATTTCTAATTTATCCAGTTTAAAAGTGAGCCCCCAAAGCCCCATTCTCCCTTATTAAATTAAGATATGATCATCAGAAGCAGCCAAAGGAAGAGGGAAAAAGATGGGTGTGTAAAAAAGAGAGAACAGGTGCATGAGGGAAAATAGGAAAGTGGGAAAAAACAAAACAAAAAATACAGAAAGAAATATTGAATGGAAAGGAAAGAGGAATTAAAGGAAGAGGATAGATTTTCTCTAAGGAAGTTATATAAACCAAGTAGGAAAACAAGCAGGGCATGGCTTCTAGAATTTTTTTCAACCCTTGAAAAATAACTGCTCTAAGTCACATGAAAGTGAAAGAAGCGAGAAGGGAGCCTAGAATGGAGCAGTCGGCAGCATATGAGCCAATACCAAGCTGCCTCCCCCATAAAAAACTCATTGGGGGAGTGTGTTCTGTTTTTTGTTTTTTCGCTCTCTGCAGCCCCCAGCTGGATCTGGCCCAATTTCAGTCTTGATATTTCTTTTGTTGCCTTCTCCTTCCATGACAAATTCGGTTGTATTGTGTTCTATTTTTGGAGGGTGGTCATGCTCTGGGACAGGCAGACAGTCCTGAGTGCGTTTCCATAATTTCTTTCCAACATTCTGCGGGATGTGAAAGAATAAGAAGACTTTCTCCACACAAAAAAAAAAAGTGGGAGAAGAGGGATGATGGGATCTGCAGGTAGAACATGGCAGGACCACTTCTGGCATCTCTTTCTTGCATACCCCTTTGTGCTCTTTCCAGTAACTCAGATGCAACTCTGTCCCTCCCTGCGTATTATGATGCAGGATCCAGCCCCTTTTTAAACATTAAAAATAGACCATTTGAAAAAAGGGCTGTAAATTTGGGACAGAATGTTTGTAGGTGGCAAACTGATTTTCCACATTCTAATCAGTTATTCTGAAAATATTTTCGGAGAGTGTTTAACATAAAGGTTGGCAGGCATTGGGTGTATTTGTTCTATGTGGCTTCCTTCATTCTGATAATATGTCTGAAATATCCATATCCCATATTTCACTCTAAGTAGGGCTGCATTCTGGCCTGATCAGAACTGATGTTGATCATGATTTTTCCAGATTATTTTTTTTACTCATGTCTATCCTAATAACTAATACCCCTCCTCTCCCAACTGTGCCCTGACTTCTCTTTTTTCCTTTCTTTAGTGCTCCTTCAATGCTGATACCCCTTTCAGGCCCCAAAATGACATCTGCCGTGGATAAATATGCTGTTTTTAAAGGGATTGCATCTGACAAGCCTGCTGAAGGTACTGCTCTACTTGGAGATTAAAAAAAACCTTACATTTATAAATGTGGTAGTTTTCCCTTCCACTTTTCTTACAACTGGGTTGAACCATACTGTCAGGCTTCTCTTTGCAACTAGGACTGAGAACAGTCACAAGCAAGCATTCTAATATACACATCTCGGATAATTTAAAAAAAAAGTCAGTCAAGCCAGTATGAAAGAATCTCAATGACTGCTAGAAACAGATCATGCATACATGAGTTTTTAAGCCCTCTTAGATGGATCAGTACCAAACAGCTCTCACAGACAGTAGAAACAAGATGATCAAGCTGAGATACTAAGGTGTCAGCCCCACAAGGTAGACCAGACCAGGAAATCAACTCCACAGGAAGGCTAAAACTACTTTTATTGAGATGGGCTATAAGAACAGAATCTTGCAAGTCTCGTTGTGCTGGACCTCTTCCTTCCCCTCCTTATAGTTCAGTGGATTAGGGAGGTGTCTGCTTGAGCAACTTCTGAATGTTATTTGGACGTTCTAGACTTTAAAAATGCTTCAGCCCCTTTTGCCTATGCAGCAGAGCCTGCATATCTCCATCAAGATCACCTTCCTTGCTTTCTACATAAGACAGGAGCCCAGAATTTTTCAAACCTTGGGAATCATTGTATGCATCAGAGCTCCAAACTTGTATTTTACCCTATCTGCAAAATAGGCTCAAAGTCCGTCTGTTTTGGGCAGGACCATTTCCCACCAGTTTTGATAATGGACCAATTTGGGTTGAGGTGGTGTGCTCTTGTCAGAACTGGTTCTCACAAAAACTACTCCAAGAGGGCATTTTTCATATGAGTTGCAGGCATGGCCACCACGTTTGAAAATGCACACCACATGCAATTCATCCCTGGAATCTAGGTATCATTCTTTCTGTTTTGTTTTTGCATTACTTGCAAGCCACCAAGGGCCCTTTTGGAACTGAGTGATGGTGATACCCTTAGAGAAATGAACAAATAATTCAGCATAATTTTTGCAATAGTGGCCAATAAGGTATAGTAGGGAATCAATAGCCATTACCATTCAGAGGTGTAATGCTTTTAACCAGAGGGTTCCATGCTACCATCATTGGTTAATATCCTCAATTGTCTTCTCCTTCCTAAAACTTGTGAATCCTATCTTAAAGTCAACTGTCTATGTGGTTGTGTGGATGTCTTGGTGATATTAGGATGGGAGAGAAGGGAGTGTATTCTCTTCTTTCCTGAAACACTTAACATAGCAATTCAGGTAAGGGTATCCATTGGATCTCATCCTAAATCCCTAAAATATGAGACCTTGTCTTCAGTGAAGTAATCTACCCATGCTGTCATTTTGATCTTTTCAGGTTATAGAGTGATTTTGATTTTGTATCACTCACCTTGCAACCCTTGATGGTTCACACCAATGAGAAAAGCAACAGGAAATCATCTACAGTAAATTAAAGTTTAAGTTAAATTAAAATTGAAATCTCATCACACAACCCTGAGGATGTCACAACTCACCCCAAAGCCCTCCAGAATAACTGGGTTTTAACTAGCTTCCAGAAGGCTGTTATCAGTAGGGCCAACTTCACCTCAGAAGGGAGATTGTTCCAGAGGAATTGAGTTATTATACTCATGACATTTTGCTCAAGGTAATACGAGAAAAAGAAGGTGCCTCCTTGAATATATGTTTATAAGACTGATGGAAAAAGATGAAGGTGGGAACAAAGCTCTTACAAGGACAGGGCAGTCTAGAAGGACCTGGAGAAGAAACCCTCAGCACTGTCCTCTTCTGACCAGTCGCTGAACAACCATCTCCATTGAAGTTCGTTGGCATAAGACACATTGGAGCTATAGCAAATGCATAACCAGTTTCACTGAAGCTTGCCTATGAGTATTCCCAGGATTCCTTTTGTTCCCATCCCCTACTCTGTCATCTCCAGTAGCATCTGAAATGTAGTACTTGCAGCACTGATTCCCTTTGTCCCATGGTAAAGAATCATAGAATTGGAAGATATCTTAGAGGTCATCATCTAGTCCAGTGTTTCTCGACCTTGGCAGCTTGAAGATGTGTGGACTCCAATTCCCAGAATTCTGGCTAGGGAATTCCGGGAGTTGGAGTCCACACATCTTCATGCTGGCTAGGAAATTCCGGGAGTTGGAGTCCACACATCTTCAAGCTGCCAAGGTTAAGAAACACTGATCTAGTCCAACTCCCCATTGAGTGCAAGCAACCTGTTCTGGCTTACAGTTCATATGGTCAGGAAGTTCTAAGTTCGGTCTAACCCAAACCTCCTTCCTTCTAGTTTTAACCCCTGACTTTGCTGCTGCCCTCTACAGCATTAGAGACTAAATCCAGTCCCGTATATATGATGCAAATAGAAACATTCAGTAAGGTATTGGGGCTATGTAATTTCCTTGTGCAGGAAAGCCTTCCAATATTGGCCACCTGCTACTATGAAACAGTAATTTTGTGGCGCTCTATCAAAATTTTAACTACATTCTCTTTTTAAATGTGCACCATAGATTATGGAGATAAATACAGTGCTTTTCGAGAACTGGAGCAGCCATCCGAAAGTAAATCCATAGGTAAGTTTCATCCAATGTAGAATCTTCAAGATCAGTCTTCCTTGGGCTTTCTAGGAATCTCTGTCATTGGTTCAATTTGTGTCTGGTGGAGATCCTAGAATATAAAGGGTTTCTTTGGAGGTATGCCTTTCAACAAAAGCAGTCTTTGTGGAGCTTCTGGAAGCAGCTTTAGTTAAATTATTTATATTCCAATCTAGAGAAGTTCCTAGAATATCTTGCAAGTCAAAAAACTGTTCCCACATGTCAGAACAACTAGAGTGCCTTCCATCTAAGTCCTTCTCCATCCCCATTATCCAAAGGCAGACTCATCCACGCAAGAGTAATTTTTTTCAGCAGATCTTCCTTTTTTGTAGAGTCCCTTCCCACCAGAGACTTGTCTGGCTCTAATTCCATCCATTTTGTGGGCGTAAAATCCAGGCCTGGCTTCTCTTTGTGGCTTTTGCTGGTTTGAGTTAGTTGATTTTCTAATTGACTTTCATCCATCTGAACTGATGTTTTAAATGTAGTTTTCAAATTTTGGCTATAAATGACAATTGCATTTCTTTTTGTCAGCTGCTTTGAGTGCTTTTTAGTAAAAAAAAAAAAAAACCAGAATCAAACCTCTTGAAATAAATTTAAGAAAAAAACAGTTTGGTGTGTTTAGCATGAGAAGTGCTGCAAACACCTCTTGATGTGACTTTCTGCTTGGCAACCTTGTGGTGGTGCTGAAGCCCCCAATAATGACTGATTGAGATTCCAACATTTACCAAGATGGCAAATGACAAGATTGCTTCTGACTGCTGTTGGTGATCAAGCAGATGAAATCTTATGGAGGCCAGAGAAAGAGATTCTGGTTAGAGAGAAAGAAGAAGTCAGGTAATTTACTTTTTTCGGAGAAAGCAAAAACACCTTTCTTCCAAATGGATTTCAGAGCAGTCAACAAAAACATAAGCTTCCAGAAGAACAAGTATAATGCTATAAAAACCGCATCATACAAACAATAAAACAAAGAGCCAGCAAACTATAAAAATATCTAATGAGCAACAACGACAGGCCATGCAAATCAAACTGTCCTGACCGCACATTTTCCCAACGACAGAATTTGGAAAAGGTCTACATTTAGGAAGTACATGTTATGAACTTCATGCAGAGGGAAGAGGCACTATTTTTCCAAAAGAAGTGGGCAGGATCACAGAGCCTTGACAGGAAATGAGACAACACAGCAGGGCTGGAATAGTTAAGAAAGAAGAGGTGGAAGCAGACAAATTGTTGATTATCTTCCATTAATTGGTTGGAAACATTTTAAAAGATGAAGAAGTTGTCCCAGTTAATTGAATGGCCCAGTCTGTTTAAAATAAATACAAGCAGTCAGAATCTCAGCTGGTGGGTTCTGTCTTAGATGGAACATCTCTTTACTGTTGTTGTTATCACAGTAGGGAACATTTCATCTGAGTTTTTCCTACTGTGGTATGTCTGCATCCTCTAAAAGCAAAAGCTTAGAGCCTTTATAAGTGAATTGGTGCAGGTACACCCTCTTAATAGTTAACTAATCTAAGCCTTCCAGGAGAAGGAACCTGAGGCAGGGAGGGATAGGTGGTGGAGGAATGGGCTCAGTAAAGGGATGATATGGCCAGATGTGGTATAGGCAGCGCTGTAAGAAATCTGAAATAAATAGCTGCGTGATTGGTTGCAATTTGAGTTAAGTGAGTACCCGGGAATGTGACTGTAGTTAACTGCTAGACAATATGCATTGAATCCCAGCATCTCCAATTAAAAATGGTCAAGGTGCTGGTGCTGGGAAAGGTCTGGAAAGATGGTAGATTATCTCAGGCTGTTGATTATTTCTCAACCTAGTTCTACATTGCTAAGTTGTGAGGAAATAATGTAGTGGGAAAGAAAGGTCATATATTGCCCCAGTCTCCAAGGAAATTGGGTGAAGTGTACCTGCAATGTATAAAAATAGATCAGTGGTACGTTTCTTGATTTGCATACAAAAGTTCCCAGTTCAGTTCTGTGCAATTCCTATCTCCTGGGGTTGGAAAAAGACTGTATCTATTAGGAAAAGTTTTTTATGTCTTTATTCAGGACATTCATATGCTGTCTTTCATAATCTGCACCAAAAGGACAAGGTTGCAGTACAAATGAAAAGTAATGAAACAGAACAAGAGAAATTCAAGTACTGTTTTTGATTGATGAAGCAGTTTCTAGAGCCAGTAACGTAGAAGAATTGTCTTGTATCCAGAAGGTCCCAAATTTCAAAGCTCATTATCCTCAGTTAAAAGGGAGGGAGTGTCCTTCCCATTATGAGACTCTGAGGATCCCCCAAAAGTCAGAATAGACAACAATGCAACTTCTGATGAGCTTGAGCTGAGCCACTGAGAAGAAAAAGCAATCTTTCTGTAGAGCAGAACATATAGGAACGTGTTTCAGGTCAGTGCCAGTTCTTTGGAATGGGCCCAAAACACTGTAGAAAGCTAATACATCCTGTGGCTTAAATAGTTTCCAAAACTATAAGCAGCTGAAAGCATTCTTTCTTTTTTTTTTT